CCTGATGTGGAACTCAAAAGTTTTTGTGGTTTCTCCAAATCTGTAGTGAAATTCTTCAGAAATTTGGCACCATTATTCTAGGACCATGGCTGCCCTCAGAAACTTACTCCACATTACACCTCAGTCCAACTTTGCCATCCTGGAGTTTCCTTAGATTTGAATATAACCAGTCATGTTAGTTTGTTCTGATTTACTCTTCTGTTCTAAAATGCCTTTTATAGACCCCTCAGTTTATGACTACTGTGAAGCTCTTATTGCCTGTAAACAAGAACTGTCTCGCTTTGAAAACTTTAGTGTTGAATATTAGAAAAGGTGCTGGTGTTTGGGTTGTTGTTGTTGTTTGGAGGTTTTGTTTGGGTTTGTTGTTTTTCCCCCCCCCAACAGCCCAATTCCTCAAAGGGCCCTTTCTACATCATCTTCCATTTCTCTTCCTGGCAAATGCCTGGCTTTTAATATATTTTAACAAGGCTGGTTTTTTTTTTTTTACATTATTTATTAGATTTTATGTTAGCAAGGTGATCCTCTGAATCTATTTTAGTCTGGGTCCTTGGGGGTTTCTAAGTAACTAGCTTATGAAGAGTGCTTGTGCTGTTTGTTTGGGTAAGAGACCTGCTTTTTGAGGGGTGGCACTTCTAGTCAGCCTCTGCCTTTGCTTGTATCCATGCCCAGGTCTGGTCCTCCTGGACTGAAGGAGGAGCAAAGCAGTGTCTCCTCAGCATCTAGTGTGGACACGAGCACAAAAAGAAAAAAACCAAATTTCTCTCCAGCTCGGCATGGTGTGGACAGTGTTGCAGCATCTCTCGATGTTCGGAAAAGCAAAGTGCTGATCTCCTTGAAAACAAAACCAGCCGGGGCTGACAAAACTTTTCTGAAGATAACATACTCCCACCTAGTGGCTCTCTTCCATTCAGGAAAATGCACCATCCCCAGCAAATACGGCAGTTAACTGTGAAACTCACATTTAAAGAATGGGTAAATCAGATTATTTAAGATGACATAACTGCTAAGTAGGTTTAGAAATGTTATTTTGAATTCCTGTTTCACTAATATGACATCTAACCGGAAATCAGGAAGATATGGTTAAACTGCGTAACATTGGTTTTGTTCAGTTGCTCACAATGTAGCAGTTCATTTTACTTTTTCATCAGTTTTGGCTGTGGCACTAGATTTGTGGAAATGACAACAGCTGGATACAGACAAGCATTTAGAAATCATTCTGTTAGCTGTACTTCATGAATCCTGTAAAAAACCTCGACGATACATCATGGGATTCTATGTGTGTGTAATATACAAATGCATATATACATATGTATATAATCTATAAAAATACGTATAGCATGTAAATGAAAGAAGCACACAAAACCACAGGTTACAACTGCTTCAGACTTTCTTAATTGTGTCTCCAAGCACAGCACTGTATCTTTAAAGCCCCAGGAAACATATAAAGAAAATTACATGGAAGCATTGCAAGTAGTTTAACTGTAATTGGCATTGACAGTCCAGAGTTTTCTGACTTAAAAGCTAGTTAGCAGCTCACAGCAGCTGTATCATAAATTAAAAGGATGCGAGCTTGAGAAACTGATGCTTCTTAGGAATCATAGAATAAGCTGGACTTCAATGCCAAGTAGGAACAGCCTAAAGAAAGAGTGGACTCTTCCGCTTTTCAAACCTCAGTTAAGGTATTTAAAATATTTAGTTAGGGTATTTTAAATTTTTAAATCTAGGAAAAGTAAAAAAGAAATCCTGTTCTCCACTGTTACATACAACATCATTTATTTCTGGAATTATTAAATACTCAAAAATTGATGTGATACAAGAACCTGTAGCCCCCCGCAAACTTCCAGTTAACGTTTAGGTTAGATCAGGTATGACCAAAGACTTAGTTTGATGCCTGATGCTTGTTTGGTTCTGATGCTGAAACATCATCTAAGACTTTCACAGAAGGTGCTGTAAGTGCAAGTACTTTCTGACGACGCTTGCAAAGAAATTAAAAACTGACCACTAACTGAGAGGGGACTGTCTCTGATCTTTCTATGGCCTCTGGTGAGTATGGAGACACCAGCAGTGTGATTGATGAAGGGAGCCCACTCCATAGCTCTTTGCTCTTCACATCCTTGTGAAAGAAAACTTGATTTCCAGATTGCTGGGGCAGTGGCCACTTTCAGAAGCACTAAAACTGCCAAACCTCTTTAACTGCTGCTGTACAGACATGTGGAGGACATACTGTCATTTCAGAACTCATTTAAAACATCTGCCTAAAAAGCAGACAGGAAAGCATTCTGTGACAGTGGAGCATCAGAAGATCACAGTACCACAGTACAGAATTCTCCATCTTCTTTGGTCCTTCCCATTCCCATCCTGTTTTCCCTTCTATTTTCTGACATTCACCTCTTCTTCCACCATACGATTGCAGTGTTACTTTTACAGTTCCCATCTGATCCTACTGTTGTCTGGCAGTAGAGGGTTGGCTCCACTGCCAGACAACAGGGCTTTCCTTGGTGACTGAAGGTATAGCTTTTTCACAAAGGGTCCAGGTTTTTAGAGTGAGATGTGGAGGGAGCAGAAAGCAATCGTTCTGGAGGCAATGAGGGGAAGTGGTTTTATACACTTCATTATGCAGATTTTACATCACTCTGCACTCAGCAATGTTGGCTTAAATTGGATTTCATTCAATTTACATTAGTGAAATTGTTGATATTCACTCATCTAAGTGAAGACGGGACATGCTTCAGGATCCACTATTTCATATTCACTGCATTATAAGTTAAAGTCATGTGGTATGTGTGTCTTGAAGTGCTTTACAAAAAAAGAAAGCAATTTTGTATGATTTCCCCACAATTAATATTCTGTTCCCTCAAATGCTTATTCAGCAGTATCAGACTCATAATTTTATGATTAAAAAGATCCCAACTCTTTAAAGGCAGAAAGCTGAATGAGAGCAAGCAGCACCCTTCAAGAAAAAAGACCCTTTAGGCACTAGGATGCCTTGTTAGGAGGATCCTACCTAACCTGGCAATGCAGCTACTTGATAAAACGAAACACCAAATAAAATGGACTGACTGAAATGAAGTCTTTCTAAGCAGCTTATTATAATTAGATTTACAATCCCATTATGTCTAGGTTTTCTACAGAGACTTTTGTCTAAACTTCAAAGGACGTCTGCTTCCTTTTAAAGTATTTCCACTACCTACATATCAAACCTGTCAGAGTGCAAAAATACTACTTACCCTCTTTTCCTGCTCCAGGCCATAGTAAAATTTACACCAGCAAAAAAAGCTTATGCTTCTATTAACATATATTACAACTGCAGTAATAGCCCACTCCAGGAATATATATGCTGGGGCTTGCTAGCATTCCAATGAAACAGAAGTTAAAAAACATCAAGGACTACTGTGTTACAGCTACCTAAAATAACTTAGAATGAGAAGCAAAGCAACTGTCTGGTGCAGTGCTATAAAATAAACCATGTAAGAAAAAGACCTCTTTCACATTTTCAAATTTAGCCAAAGGAATAAATGGCATAATCCTGGCAGGACTCTGCCCTCAGTCCTCATCCATCAGACTTGTGACAGTTTCAAAAAGACATTTGCGAGGAAACTCACTCAGTGTTAATAGGAATGGTATAAAGCTTTAGGGTAAATAGCACATTATTTGCAATTTAACGTAATTTTCTAACCAGAAATTGTGCTAAGTGCTTTTTGTAAAATTATTAAGCAACTCTTGTAAAAAGTTACAGAAACAAGTTTCTATTCATCAGGTTTAAAAGTTAAACAGTGATGTTCTAAGGCTCAATAAAGCAGTAAAGAACTAAATACTCTGATTGATAACAAACACTGTTCTGGGCCTGGTCTTCTTTCCAATTCTTTAGTAAATCTTTGTTAATAATAAAAGAATTAAAACATGGCATTAATTTGGATGAGTGGTGTTTACAGATGTATGGGGAGTGAGAAAGAAATCACAATGGTGATAAACTGTTGCTTTGCTGTCAACTTTGTTGTCACTCCTAGAAACAGGAACTAAAATGTTAATCTTCCTTCTCCTTCTACCACAGGTATCCAAGCAATAGCTACAGACAAATAAGTGAAGTATGTCTTTTGAACAGACAAAGCAATCATACTATGCGAGAGAAAGGGAAATTAAACCAAGGTGGAATTTACTGGGGGCAGTGTCTACATGGAAGAGAGAGGCATTTATCTCCTACAACTGTTCCAACTTGACAGAATTACACGAGTTAAAAGTAACTAAACAAAAAATTTGGAAATGGGAGATTGACTGAGGGGTTTGCTTGTGGAGAATTCTGCTTGTTGTAATACAAGAAAAGCAACACTTCAGAGAGTGCTGAGGTAACTAGTTTTGATTTAGCCCCGAGAAGCTTTCAGGTGTGCAAACTCTTTTTTGAAGACCTTAAGTTGTCAGCTATACTGCTTGATTTACGAAAAGTATTGCATTCCCCTGCAAATCCTTACTACAAAATAAAATACCCAGCTCAGACTTTACCATGAGTCACAGCAAAATCAAAGACAAATACAGGTTAAAAACAGTTCTTCTTAGTAAAACCTAATTATACAGAACACTTAGACTGTCAAGAGAAAAAAGCAGCTAGCACATGTGGACAGGTGAGGCAGTAAGAACTCTGATACCCAATTAGCACACGGGCCACAAAGGAAGAAAAGGATCATTAATTTCTTTTACAGAGGCAGGGGTCAACAACAAAATGAGTCTTTAGTTCCTATGTCTGACTTTGATGTTTAATAAGAGATCATAACGTAGGCTTCAAATACTTTGTTATTTTCTCTTTTTTTTTCATATCATGCCATAAAGTGTAAAACCTGGTGGCAAATCTGTGCGTTTTGCTTGAAACCTTCTGTTAAGTGCTGGAATGGTTTAACATTTCCAGCTGAGCACTTGTTCAGCAACTCTACCTTTGAGCAATAGTCACTCATCTGTACTCCAGTTAGATGTCACTTATACAAAGAAAATGATGAGGAGTTGTAGGTGGGTTTTGTTGGGGTATTTTTTGTTGTTTGTTTTGTTTTTCTTTCCACTTAGAAGAGATGATTGTCCTCATTCTTTCAGTACTTTCCACCAGCAATACCAAGTGAGACACATGGAGTTGTCTGCCAGGGAGTGAGCACTCTGCAAGGGAAAAGGACACTGAGCTGCAGTCAAAATGCCCAAGACTTTACTTAACATACCCCAAATTTCTTTCCTGTTAGAGGCTTTGTGGCTGACTCACCTGCGGTCAAAACAAAAGATGACACCTAAAATGAAAAGGTGGTATAATCTCAAAGGCAACAGCTCTGGTATGCTCACTTTGGTATATATATAAAATCAGAACTTTTAACTGGAAGCATATCATTTGTAAAATACATTATTAGCATCTCATGCTGTTATTAAAAAAAGGATAATAAGCTGTCTCTTTGACAAATAAGCAAGCTTAAATAGGTAGATGTCTGATATGATGTTGTGACAATTTTATGGTAGTATATGTTTAAAACTATATTGCTAAAACCTCTGGAACATATTCATAACAAAGATGAATTTGCATATCCCTAGGATAACAGTTCTGGGATCCTCTGCCTTATCACTAAGTGCAGTTGAGCATTTAAAGCTTCAGAAAAGGGAGGGGAAGAAGTCTGTTGAAAGTATGATGGCTTTGAGAGACTTTCATTTGCTAGATACGGAAAATGGACTGTAACATTTTCTTAACAGACTGAAGAAACTGCGAGCTGTTGACCCAAGTGTATCTGATGTGCCCATCAAAGCAGCATGCTGCAGCTGCACAGCTGTGACCTCAAAGGAGTTTTGATGGGAGCTCAGGAGCTATGCTAAAACTGCAAGACCACCAGACCAGTAAGCCAGAGAAGTGCCTGTAGCTTTTAAGCTCTTCTTCCAAGGGACTAAAATATTAAATAAAACAACATGGATTGAAAGCATACCTTTTCCACTTTGGTATTACTGGCAAACATGAACCTGCATGGCACTAAATGCTCCCTAAAGCAGAAGCACACACCAGAGCATATCCTGAAGGCCAAAACACGCTTTTTAAAGAGTAACTGCAACAGAAAGATATTGAAACTTAAAGGACTTCAACTCCCTGACTGAGAAGACACTGCTGCATCCATGGGGTGATGATCCTATTTCTCTTAGTTTTCTTTTATTCCTTCTCTCCTTTCTCCCCTCTGCGTTGGATCTGGGGCCACAGAAATGATCAGAGGGATGAAGCACCTCTCATGTGTGGAAAGGCAGAGAGAATCAGGTCTGTTCAGCCTGGAGAAGGCTCACAGGATACCTACTGCAGCCCTTCAGTACTTAAAAAGGGGCCTGCAAGAAAGATAGGGAGAGACTTCTTAAACTAAAAGAGGGAGAATCAGGCTGAATATGAGGAAGGCATTTTTTTGTTTACAATGAGGGTGGCAAAGTACTGGCACAGGTTGCTCAAAGAGGTGGTAGATGCATCATCCTCGGAAACATTCAAGGCCACGCTGGACATGGTTCTGGGAGACCTAACCTAGTTGAAGATGTCCCTGCAGAAGGGCTGGACTAGATAACCTGTGAAAGTCCCTTCCAACCCAAACTATTCTGTTTGTATGACTAATACCAGCCACGTTCTGAAACGTTTACAGTGAGCCTAAAAACAAGCCTCCCCTTGCAGCAGAGGTCGGGCACCAGCTTACCTCCCTCAGGAGAGGACACTGAGGCGGCAGCGCGCCTCCGCCATCGAGGTTCCACGCGGCGCCAGTCAGCACGCGCCAGTCCACCGCCCTCCGCCTCCGCCTCCGCCTCCGCCGCTCCGCCCGGCGCAGCTGCGCCACGCACACCCACAGCGTGCTCGCTCGGCCAACGGCCGTCTGTTTTAAAGCTCGTGTGCCTCGCACCTCCCTCTGCCTTGCTGCGATTGGCTGGTTCTGCCTGTCAATTATGCCCGTGCCCGCCCTGGCGGCCTGGTGATTGGCTGGGCGGGGGTAGAGAGGGGGAAAGCTGTGGCAGCGGGGCTTACGTGGGTGGGGTGGTGGTGTTGTGTTCTAGCTGCGTTGCTGCTGTGGCGCAGGGGTCGCGCCCCTAGGAGTAGCGGCGGGCTCGGGCACTGGTCCGTGTTATACTGTGGGGAGAGGCGGCGTGAGGGACGAGGGCGTGTGGAGAAAGGGCTGCGGCGGGCATCCTCAACGTGCAAGTCGGCCAGAGCAGAGCAGGGTATTGCCAGGGTTGCTGTTTCTTTCTTCCCACATGCGGGCTTGCCTCAGGTGGCGTTTTTGGCTTAAGGCCTGTCTGGTGCGGTTGCTTCCTCCACTGGTCTGGTGTCCTAGCTCAGTGCCTCTTCACCTCCGTGGGAGGGGTGAGGGCGGGCTCGTCAACTCCCACGATTTTATCTTGTGTCCCGTTGCTGATCTTACAGATAATGTTCTTGGCTGAATGTTTGAACTCGTTGAGGGAAAAGGGAAAAATAATTTGCCTCTTCCTTGCTCCAGTTTTGTCTGTTTCCATACCTTGTTAGGCCTGAAGTTGCAGAGAGTTTTCCTGATCATGGGATCTTTGTAAAGTATGTAGCCTGTGAAACAGTACATTTTAATTAGTTTGCTGAAAGGAGATGGGACACTGTAGCAGGTAGGAGTCATGCTGTTGCTGCTGTTGTCTGTCAGGGATTTATTTTTTTTTGCTCTATCCTGCTTCCTTTCTGGAATCTCATTTTAATAAAGCCAGGAGCTGTTTGGCATTTGGCTTTTTTTTAATGACCAGTGATGGGTGTCATATAAACGTGACTAGGGTGGTTGTTTGCATGGATTCCTGCCCCAAAATGAATACAAGCTTGATAGAAAAAACAAAATACACAAAATGTATCTCCACCGAAAGTTGTCTTTTTCTATGATTGAAAAATACAGTTGTGTTTATTCGCATTCTGATTAAGGGATTTAGGAAGTCTATAATGTCATGTGAAGGCTGCTGTGAAAAGAATGTGCTAGTACTTTGATTCAAAGCACCTTTGAAACGACTGGGCTGTTGTGTGAGGAGAAGGCCATCTTAGGACATTGCATAATATGCATAAATGTGAAAGAGGAAGGGGGCTTAATCCCTCCATAAATTGAATATATAATCTTTTTTAAAAATTATGCAGAATAATTTTGGAAGTGCTGGGGTAGTTTTCAGTAGAATGTGTAACTGAAAAGGACTAGCAACTGTGGAGGTGGTTAGTGTTTTGAGTACGGAGTAAAAGCTTACTTGGTGTAACCAGCAATCATCTGAAAACCTTTAGATATAAAGATAGGTGGGATAACATTTGGTACATTATTATGGCTTTACTTTTGCTAATTCTTACTTTTGCTAGTGATAGGGAGTTATAGTTAGCTGTCAAAATAATTTGTGTAGGTAATGGTGCTCATTTGGATCATCAAGCTAAAAAGTAATAGTTTAGCTGGTGCAAAAGCACCAGAAGTTACAAGCTGAAGAGAAGGTCGCTTCAGCTTCAGGCTGTAGAAAAAGGATGCAGTTGTAACTGTTCTGGAACACTTTTTCTCTCCCTTTTGGCAGTATTCAGTTAAGTGCAACTAGTTTGAGTTTGCTGCAGTGCTTGAGATGGTTGTTTTCTTGTGACCTTGAATAGTGGAAGCCTAATGAAGGGAGAGGCATATGAATATTTATTCACTCTACTGTCCTTGATTTAGTTTCCTTTATTTTCTGTTTTCCAGATACTTGCTGAACAGCAAGGCTTCCTCAATTGACATCAATTGACGTAAAAGTAAGTTGACAAGAAACAACTGGTTTTAACTGTTTTTCTTGGAAAAAAATAAAGTGCCATGTCTCAGATCATAATTAATTGGACCCTGATCCTGAAGACAAAGCAAGCTGAAAACATAAGGGGCATCAAATAACAAGTAGGAGTTGTAGGTTATTTTTTTTGGTGGTAATTTTTTTTTGCAAAGGATTGAATTACTGAACCTTAAAGCATAGGCTTTTGGGAAAAGAAGACATAAATTCAGTGAAAGGAAAAGGAGGCTATGAAAAAAAGATAAATCTGACTTGAAAGTTAATTTTTTAAGGGCTTGACTGATAATTGCCAAATGGGCTTCTTAGTGTGATTGTTCCCCATCACCTGAATGACAGAAACCCAAAGCCATTGTACAAGATTTGGCATGTCAGAGAAATAGTGGCTGGAACAACAACCATATGGGTAGATGTTTTTAGTTTTGGCGACTGTGAAAATTGATAAAGTAATGAAAATAAGGACCCCAGAAGTGGGATTATTTCAACCCCTTAGTTTGTCAGACAGTTCAGCCTAGTTTTATTACGTATTGGATTGAATTAAATTACTTTTATTCATGAATTCTTTGAATATATTATTTAGGCATGGACTTAATGAATTAAGTATTTCAGTACTAAAGTACAGTTTCAAAATCAGGAGTATTTCTATAAAATGTGGTAATAAAAAAGTGGAACTTGGCACTTCAGGTAGTGCCAGGAACTTGCACTCCACACAACTGTGATAACGTGATTTATGAAACAATTCATTATTTTAGTTGAAGGGCAGCATACTTAGAAAAGAGTTGTGATACAACTTAGGAAAGTGTGAATATAGAATATATAGTTAGTGGTTAAAGTTCAAGATTATCACAATTTAAAACAATGCTTTGAAAACAAGTGCACAGACAATAGTAGATGGATTTGGGATTGAAGCTTTATGCTAAACAAAGTCACAGTAAATAGGCAAATATAGCATAAATTGTTTTTCTTGTGCTTTGGTAGCTTCTGTGTACATATAACAATGTAGAATTACCTGAATTGAAGTATCTGTAATGTTCTATTGAAGCTATTGCAGATATGCACGAGGAAAACAAAGCTGCAGCAAATGCATGTGGCAAAATCCGAAGTGGCGCTCAGAATGGGGCTGCTTTACTTGCCCTTATGGAGAAGACTGGATACAGCATGGTTCAAGAGAATGGACAAAGAAAATTTGGTGGGCCTCCACCAGGTAAGCATTTCTTTTGAGATGACAAAGTTGGAGTTTATTTGCTGTAAGGAGTTACACTGAATCACGCTGAAAATTTGTATAGCCCTGCATCCTGTATCTTGACCATGATCAGTAGTAGATGACTTGTAAGAAATTATGATAACCATTTGTAAATGAAGAGTTTTACTGTTAATTTTGCTTGTATAAGCTGTGGCTTCTGTAAGCTTGTATTGCTGCCAGGGGAGATAGTCTGTGTGTCAGCTCTTTTTTCCTCTTAGCATCTTGGTTTTTTTCTGACTGCTGTCCAGAGCAAACAGCTGATCTGGTTGAAAATTGCCTTAAACAAACTGTATTCTTTTTTCCCACCTCAGCACAGTTCTTCAGCTTATGTCACTTGTGGAAAATGTATCTGTTGAGTGGGGGGTGTTGGGGAAGTGGAGAAGGTTGATTTTCATTGCTTCATTTGGGTCTTCTGCTTAGGTTGCTGCAGACATAATGATGTCATTAGGTATATAAGTCATTAGAATAGTGTGGAAGAAAATTTAAGATAGCATGGATCTCAGTAACACTTGGAGGATTATAACTCTCTAATGTTGATTGAAGTTTGATTACTTGAATTACTGCAAAAAAAGGAATCCCATAGTCTGTTGCCCAGCGATCAAATACCCAATCAAGGAAACTTTCTGGTCTGTTGGGATCTACTTGAGGAATGGTGCTTTTAACCATTTCCATGTTGGCTCTGTTATATACATGTTGCTCATGGCAAATGTGGCACAGACGGGGTTTAAGTCAGGAGTTGCAACTTTCTCCCAGTTAGCAGTAATGTGCTGTAATGCTAAGTTACCATGCAGCTTCAAAATTAGAAGGGGAACTTTTTGAATGGTAGGTGACTTTTAGTTACCGAGAATCACAGTTTAATTGGTTATCAGGCTGAAGATAATAGGGAATTTGTCTAGTTAATAAATTAACATTCTTATTTAATGTCAGGATTTCCCTATGCCATCAAGCATAGCCTCCTCCCCTCTTTCCTGATGAAGGTTGCTTTTGTCTTCGGACTCGCTAAACGGGATTACTGTTGGTTTATGCTTTTTCATGTGGGCACCTGACTGGCCTGATGGGAGTGATGGCAGTACTAGCTTGCAAATTGTACTACTTGCCATGTCCTGTCAGACCTCAGCTGAAGTGGTTATAAATGTTTATAAAGCTGAAAGTCATAAAGATGTTGAATGCTGTGTGGAACAGAGCCAGACTTTTTCCTGAGTAAGCCATGACAGCAAATAGCTGCAAATGCATGCCAGTTGTGATGTCTGGGTAGCTTCCTTGTGTACTGTGTAGTTCTTGGTATACAGTTTATAGAGGAAAATTTATTCTGTGGGAAGGCAAAAGTTTCCCAATTCTGTTAAGATGTGTTTTTCATGAGTAGATGATGTGCTCTTTGATTATTACGTGAAGGAAAAAGTTTTATTTAAATGTAGACTCTTAGAAACCTATCTGTGTTTTAAGTAATGCTGGACTCAGTGGGTTTCGGTGAAAATACACAAAAGATTGAATTAAAAGAAATAATAAATGTGGGCTTATGACTTTTTTTTAATTTAGTTTATTTAAACATAACAAAAAAGGGTTAAATACAGGATGACAATATGCTAGTTTTAAATAGAAACTAAATATAGGTAACTCCCACCTTCAAATTGGAAGCCTGGGGGAAATGTATTTACCTTTATTTGTACTAAGATTTTGTTGGACAATTTCTTCTAAGGTTGGGAAGGTCCTCCACCACCTCGTGGATGTGAAGTTTTTGTGGGTAAGATTCCTCGTGACATGTATGAAGATGAATTGGTTCCTATTTTCGAGAGAGCTGGGAAGATCTATGAATTTAGACTCATGATGGAATTCAGTGGTGAAAATCGAGGCTATGCTTTTGTGATGTATACTACTAAAGAGGAAGCCCAACTAGCCATCAAGATTCTTAACAATTATGAAGTTCGTCCAGGGAAGTTTATTGGTGTCTGTGTAAGCTTGGACAACTGCAGACTATTTATTGGAGCAATTCCAAAAGAAAAGAAGAAAGAAGAAATACTGAATGAAATGAAAAAAGTTACAGAAGGAGTGGTAGATGTCATTGTTTATCCAAATGCCACTGACAAAACTAAAAATCGTGGCTTTGCTTTTGTAGAATATGAATCTCACAGAGCAGCTGCAATGGCTAGGAGGCGGCTTATCCCAGGTAAACTGATTCGTAATTCAACTGCAGGAGTATGTGTCTCCACATTGCATGGAGTGGGGTGGTGGATCATCTCTGTTTTCCTTTGTTTAATGTATTTTGAGAGTTACAAAACTGCAGTGGTGCCTTTCAGCTAAAGAGGAATTTTTTATTTTTTGTTCATGAACATTTTTTGGTTGGGATTTATTTATTTCTTAAGAAACTGAAATTTAAGCAGTTGTGAGAACGAAAGAGCAGACATCTGTTTTATAAACTCAAGTTACTGTAATTTACATCAAGATATGTATTTGCTTGGGCACACATCCAGTTTTCATTTGCATATGTTGTCCCTGCACATGAATTCTCTTAAAGCTGAGTTTAAAAAATACAGTGTTTGGGATGTGTCCCTTATTTTCTTTGAGCTGCATGAGTGACATTATTAATACTTCATACTGTAAAAATGTTTGAAAGTAGGTCTTTAATCTTTTACTTGTTAAACTCTTAAAATGATTTTCAAGTAAAAGACAACTTTTTCTTTGCACTTTATTTTCTTTAGTCATTTCAAGTAGCAATATTTTACATATTTTGCTTGAATAGATGCAGGGAACACAAACCATTTCCATGTGGCATGCATCATGTTTGCTTTTTTGTAGAGAAATTGCTAAGAATGATTTTTGTTTTCACTTGTGTATTTCTTTTTGTTGTATTACTTTGCTGTAGGAACATTTCAGCTCTGGGGTCATACTATTCAAGTAGACTGGGCAGATCCTGAGAAAGAAGTTGATGAAGAAACAATGCAAAAAGTTAAGGTGTTATATGTAAGAAATTTAATGATATCTACTACAGAGGAGACAATTAAAGCCGAATTCAACAAGTTCAAGCCAGGAATAGTTGAACGTGTAAAGAAGCTGAGAGACTATGCTTTTGTTCACTTTTTCCACCGAGATGATGCAGTGGCTGCTATGTCTGTAATGAATGGAAAGTGCATTGATGGAGCCAGTATTGAGGTAACACTGGCAAAGCCAGTTAACAAAGAAAGTACTTGGAAGCAACATTTTAATGGTCAGATAAGTCCCAGTTCTGAAAACCTCTTGGGGTTTCCTAACAAAGAAGATGGTCATCAAAAATCCTTAGGGAAACCAGTGAGTCTTCCAGTTCATTTTAATGGTCAGCACAGTCCAGTCCCCACTGAAGTTGAAAGATGTATATACCCATTTTTTCCAGGAATAAAACTTACTCCAATTAGCATGTATTCTTTAAAATCCAGTCACTTCAGTTCTGCAGCAATGCATCTGGATTATTTTTGTAATAAAAATAATTGGGCACCTCCAGAATACTACTTGTATTCAACCACAAGTCAGGATGGGAAAATACTCTTGGTGTACAAGGTGCTTATTCCTGATATTGCTAATGCTTCCCGGAGTATTTTCATGCCAGACAAACTATGTACAACAGTAGAAGGTGCAAAGGAATTGGCAGCGCAGTTCACGCTTCTACATCTAGGTAAGCATAAATGCCTCCCAACTGAAGCTAGAAAAGTTACTTTTCAAGTGTTCTTTGTGTATATATCTTAGGTTTTGTATATATCTTTATGTAGATAAGTTACAGAAGAATTGTTTCTTGTGTAGTCAGCTGAGTCTGGACCATCAGTGAGAGCACTGGAGGAAAACTGTAAACATGTATACAATGCAATGCTAGGGTCATTTTTGCTTACATTTATCTGCCATAATGATTTATAAAGAAGAACTAGATGACATGTTAAGTGACTTAGGTAAAAAGTCATCTGTGTGATGATTGTGGTTCTGAAAATTTATTTGAAAGAAGAATGGAGACAGCTTCAAGTTCTGTGCTTGACCTGCCAGTTCTGTGTTTTACGGATAGCATTATCTAAAAATAGTATTTTCTGTCCTATACTTCTTCAGGAAAGAATTGCCAGAGTAATTAAAAAAAAGTTAGATGAAGAATGATTATTCACAGCTATGGTAAAATCCAGAATGTAAACAAGTTTAAAAAGATTAAGAAAGTATGCGTTGAGATTTTTATCTCTTCAATTATAGTTACAAGTGCTGTAGGCAAAACATTTTAAGGTGACTTTAACAGTATTTGAAAGCTTTTTAGCACTTCAGTATGCCACATGATCACAGTTAATGTGAATTCTTACTTAGCAGAATTCCCAGATCCCATGTTTGGTTTTTAAAAGCTGTCTACCTAATGACCTAGTGCTAGTAATGCTGTCTTGTTATCTTTGAACTATGAGACTTTTGATGGCCTTACTGTTTCTGAGAATTTGCTCTGCCTGCTCTGTGCAGGACCCATATTTTAAAGCAAACATACATGGCTGGCTTTTGAAAGATGCACCTCTTTCAGGTAGATGAAACACCTTTTTCATTGGAATTGTCATGATACTGAAAAGTAGCCCTAAGGAGTCTAGAAATAGAATTTCTTTTCCCTATCTAATCTGCAGAAGCCATTTGCATTCCAACTTAATGTAACACAATATGATGAATGAAACATCTGAAGCCAAAGAAGAGTTTCTAGATGTGACAGAGGATCCCCTCCTCACTGAAGTGCGTTGCGTAGTTTGGCATGTTGAATGATGGTGCAGGGATGCATGTGTTGTGGGTTTTCTTTTTTGTTCTTGGTTGTTTTGTGGGGTTTTTTTTTCCCTCTCTTTTACTTTATTTTCTTTGAGGTGTTTTTTTTTTTTTTGTTTTGGTGGGTTTTTTGTTTTTTTTTTAAGTAGCAGTGATTTTGAGAAAAGTGTGAATGTTTTTCTTGGAAGCAACTTACTATAAGCATGCCTTTACAAAGATGACAAGGAATAATTCCTTCTGGTAAGTAACCGCTCTTACAGGAACTTAGTTGTTCTTCCCACTTAATTTTTGATAATGCCTTTTTTTTTTTTTCCCTTTTTTAAAGCATATAAGCAGACTAAGTTAAGTAAATGAGAAAGGGCTGCATTTGTAGAATTTTAAAATTGGGCTGCTAAAATTAATAAAGCATGCTCTTTGGGGTTTTTTTTGATGATACATATTTCTGTATTTACTTCCACATAATGGTATACTTGGTTGTTACTGCATACGGTAGTCCTGAATGGAGAGCAGTACAGCAATTAACCACTTGGTGTCGCCTGAATATTTTGAAAGTGATGCTTGGTGAAAATACAGAAAGCTGTGTTTTAGTTTTACTAGATAGATCATGAACAGATCAAGGGAGTGAAGAAAAATGAAAGTCAGGCTTGTTTAAATATATGAAAATTACATGTATGGATGTCACTTTGCTAGAAAGAGAGCCCTGCTACATGTTGAAGTTTAGAAAGTAAATGTTTGGGGAGTGGAAGAAAATTGAAAAAACCCCAACTGAATTCCCTGTAGAAGAAGTACCTTTTTCATTAATTTGAATCTGATTTCAACACAAATAAATCAGCATCTTTAGAAGTTACACAACACCGTAGTATTGTTTGCAGAATGGTGCTTGGCTATTAAATGTGGTATCCAGTTAGTAAAACATGTAAGAATTCCTGCTCTTGTCTATTCTGGATGATGACTAGATGTAACACAGCTCCAATTTGAAGATTGTATAATTATGCTAATTAACACAAACTCTGTATTCCACCTATTGTCTAGAAGCAGTGTTAGTGCACAGTCAGTCCTAAAAGATGAGATGTTAATTATTATTCTGGTCCTTGGCATCAGTAATATAGTAGTTTTGTAGTTTATGGATTCAAACTGGCTCATCCAGGTGACTTTCCTAAGTATAGGCAGAAGAGAACCTGAAGTTGCATAGGTGTGCTCTGTAGAACTTTCACTTCCCTTTCTTCAGTGGGAGTAAACATCTGAAGCCTGGAAAAGCAGAACATTGTTCTGAGAATGACTGTGGGGTTCTTTTAGTTTTTGTTGTTACTTTGTTTTCACTTATTTCTGGTAGAATTCCACTAGTTTAAGGAAATACCAGAAAACGCCAGAACTTCTTTCCGGAACTTAAGACAATACCCTCTGTAGAAAAGTCTGAGTCTTGGGGAGTTCTCTCCCTACTGAGTATGATGAAGGGAAGAAATTTTGGTAAATTTTACTCAGTTTGAGGGATCTGCCAGGTTTTAGACCTATTCCACAATAGGGTACTCTGTTTATTCACACAGGCTATCCCATGTGGCATGTTAGTGAGACACAATTTAAAGAAATTAATTTTTAGCCAGAAGAGAGTATTTAAAATATTTAGCAAAGTATTGAAAAGAAAATACTGATAAATCTCTGAATTAAGGGAAAGGATTTAAATACGTATAGCACATAAATATCAGTAATTCCAGTTTGCGACGTAGAATGTATAAAGTAAATGGTACTGAAACACACTGTCCCCTGCACTTGATCTCTTATTCATAGGGAGGCACTGATACTGAGCTTGGAGGAAATGATGCTTGAATCATAGCCAGGTCTCTTGGATCCTGCCCTTACCTTCTAGCCATAATCCATGGGACTGCTCCAAGTAGGTCCTTGACAAATCCAAGATTAGCTCTCTAAATCCAAGGTTGCAGTCCTACTTACTGCCCTGTTTCCTCCATGCAGGATCCTGAACTCCATCATCTCATGGTCACTGCAGCCAATACTGCCCCCAGCCTTCTTATCTCCAACCAGCTCTTTTTTTGTTTGTTAGTACAAGGTCACTGGCTTTGTTTAGCAAATACAGATAAGTGATGATTGGGGTGTTGTTTTGTTTTTTTTTGGTTGTTTTTTTTTTTAGTGAATTTTAGAAAGGCTAAGAGTGTAGTGTAAGATATTCCTTAAGAGTATGACTTAAGAGTATGACTTTGAAAGTCTTTAAATATTTATCAGATGGCTTATGCATAATGATTTTTTGCATAGTCCCTAAACAAGCATATGTAACTTTGCTGTCCATGAATGCAGCATAGTAGGATAGTAGAGGCAAGTAAACCTCCCAGGACTGTTTGGTGGAGGCTTTTCTACCCCCTCAGAAACACTGTCTTATCTTCAAAGGAAACAACTCTGCTTTTGTAGACCTGCTGATTAATCAGTCAGTCTGATGTTCCTGAGGATTTTGCAGCACAAAGAAAGGTTACAGTTTTTACTCCTAAAATGACTCTTGGTAATTTTTCAGTCATTTCTGAATTATTTGTGTTTCCAACTTGAGTTTAAGTCTGTGTTCAGCAGTGGATTCTTACTACAGTCGTGACCTAGACTCTTCCTTTGGGTAGTTAGTTTTATGTAAAAAAAACTAATGTCTCCTCCAACTTGCAAAACCTGTTATTTTTAACCTCCTGCATTTTATGCCACAAGGGTAAACGTTCTCTTTTTTTCAGATACGCTATTGTAGATGCATCTAAGTGTAGATGTCTGTCACCTGAGGCCTCTCATTTTTTTTTTTTAAATGGGGATTACCATCTTTTCTGAGTGTTGCGAGATTCATTTTTTTAAAGCTTGTAAGTCAGTTTGAAAACATCATTAAATCCATGCTCAGTGTTAACTTTACTGCTGGAAGCATCTCAGTCACTCAGGACTTGTAATGAAGATTCTGTTACTTTTCTGTTGCTGCTGCTGCTTGGGGACAGGGAACATAAATTTGTAAATCTATGCCTGTGTAGGATAACTTGGAAAAAAAGATAAATTTAACAATGTTGGACTGTGTTTATCCATGAAATGACTTGACTGACTTCAGTAGAATCAGTCACTTCAAAACAGGTATTTACTGAATTTACTGCATTTTCCTAGTATGGTCATATCCCCAGTGGGGTACATCTGGCAGAACTTGGTACTTAGTTAATAGTACTATTATGCTGTGGTATGTATTATATATATATACACATATATATATAACAAATGACTACAACTCAGAGCAGTAATATAATACATTAAATTTGTCTTCATTAATAGTTTGTGCTCAGCTGAGGTGAAACAAAGGGTTGTTATTGTGAAGTTTGGTTTTAAAAAGGTGCATGTATATCTATAATGCAAAAATACTTACGTTCCATACCAAAGACTGATGGTACTTGAAGTAATATAATTTCTTGTTGACTTTAGTATTAGGAGTGCAGAGGAAAGGGAAGAATTCAGAATTAGCATAAGACTGTGAAAATGTTCATTATACCATTATCTTAACTCTTAAGAAACTTAAGTCCATTTTGGATAGGTAATTCAATATGCTTGCTGAAATCAAATTCTCTCTCTTCTCTACTTCCCCCCTCTTTTTCTCCAGCCAACTGTACACCCTATTTGGCTTGAATTGCCCTCAAGAAAAGCTCAGGATGTTTTGCTTCGGATCTTGCTACAAAAGGAAAAAGACCACTAACTACATTGATACATTCTATGATTTACTGGAAAATCACATTACATGTTTATTGAATAATTCTGTAAAACATATGTGTTTATTAAACATTTCACTTTAAAGATTAGTGACATTGACTGTTAAATTGTTTTAGTTAGCTTGATTAGATTTATTTTAAAATTGTTTAAAAGATTTTTTTAGCTGCAGTAGTTTATAAAACAGTTTATTTTTAGTGTTGAAATAATTTGCTACAATTCCTTGTATTTTGAGTTTCACACAAATGTTACAGCTTCTGTGATAATAAATCTTAAGAATCATTAAACAAAAAACATAACCAACAATACACCGCCTTGGCAAGTCTGCCTTTTCGTACATAAACATGCATAATACGAAACTTAAATATCATACTCAGATTTGTTTCTGTAACTTGATGCAAAATTTTATAGGAGGAACGTGCTCAGTAACATCTTCTGGTACAGCATTGCATCAACAGAGGAGTGGTATTTTGAAAGGCCTGTTTTGATGTCAATCTACCATCAGGCTACATAAGATGTATTACTGTATTTGTAATGTTGAGCTTCAATACCTTAGGTAATTCTTTGAGACAAAAATGAGCAAAAAAACCCCACGACTTGATACATACAAATTACATGTACTTATATGTACAGCTCACTAAGTTGCATTACCTGTTAGCACTGCTCTGCTGGACATGTGTGCTTCCATATTTAGAGAAGCCTTATTCATATCCAGGCTATGTAACCAGCACTTCTACTTGCTTGTTCTATGTTGAGCAGCAGTTTGCTCACTTTCTAATCAGGCCATGTTCGTCTGAAGAAAGCATTGCTTAGCATTAAACTGAAAATAGTTTTAAATTTTTAAAATTGGGTAAATATAATTAATTTTGACTGGGCCATCTTGATTTTCATTGTGACTATTTAGCCTTTCTCAGTAAAGTGCTTTATTGAATGACAAAATAAGGGGTGTGTTTTGTTTTGTCTGTTTTTAAAATCTCAAACTAATGGAGTAGATTATCTTTCTTTTTGGAATTTAGTATATAGTTTCAGTTCCTGGTCAAGGAATGCATCAGTCAAGTGGCATACTTTCAAGTGTCTGAGAGCCTCACCTATGCAAGTATTGGTTGTAAGCTTTTTTTGTCTGAAATGTGTTTGTCGAAACTATTATGTAGACAGAAAATGATGCAGTGGAAAGATCTAAAGGCGAATAATTTTTCTTAAAAGCAGTCAACTATTGTGGTCCATCACCTGTTTTGGTTCAGCATGTTTCGTCACCATATTGTCCTTTTTTTGTGTCAATTTCAGCATAGTTATAGGAGTTTAATTTGCATTTGATATTAGCTACATAATAGTTGTTTTAAGTGTTGTAATTTTTAATGTTGAAATCATGTGTTTAACTTCTGTACTTGAATTCACATTTCTATTAAATTTACACTGTTAGCATGTGGTGTGTGTAAAACAAATAGTATTTTTCACATATGGTACCTTCACAATGTTACTTCGCAGGATTCACTTTGCTTTCTCAAGCAGCAAGCTTTGGCCAGAAGCTCCAGTGCAGGTGCTTTTCTGAACAAGAGGAAGGGTAATGAAATGGCTTAGCAAAACCTTGAAAAAAGAAGAGACATTTTAAAAATACAAGTTTGCTTCATAGCTTCTGTGCCATTTCAAAGTTGTTAAACTGTAACGATTTCCTAAGAAACTGTTGGGCGGAAAGAAGAGGGGGCTTGTTTTAGTTCATGTTTAAACTAAGTGGGTCCCTGAGGCCAAAACAACAATCTTTAATGACACCTGAAAATAGAGTAGACTTTTCAGTAGTATTCTGTGATACTTCTAATGGAAATCAGGGCCAACCAAAGCTAGGTAGAACTGATATTGTTAGCTACTCAAGGGAATGGTGTGATGAACCGCAAAAAAGAGTGCAGAGTATTAAAATGAATACCTGTAGGAGAGCTGACTTCCCCGCAGGAACAGAAGGAGGTAGTGATCAGTACTGTAGAAAAACATGGGTTGTATTTTTCAGGTGTGCAAGATCCTTCTTGTTTAGATTTCTGATTGTGCTACCATCTGTGAAGTAGTTTTGTGCAAAAAGCACTTTTGCTATAAACTAGCAACTCCAGTCATTAATATAAGTGTGTACCTTGGCAATTATTTTCAATAGTCCCAACAATTATGATTGCATAAACCGACAATCGAATGTTTAAGTGTAATGCGTTATGGGTGGATGCAAGCCAAACACAACCCTCAGGCAGAAATTTGGTCTTTGTTTTGCAGATAAGAACAAAGGTGTAAAGAATAAGCAGCTGAAGCAGCAGTAACACTCAGTGGCTGTTAATTTGGTTTTTTGAAATTTATTTAGAACACACCATTAAAAATGTAATCTGTGCAAAATTGGAAGCATACTTTTTGCATTTAGAAAAATCTCACTGGAGCTTATTAACCTTTGAAAAACAAACCATGTATTCTATAAATACTATGACAAAGGGAAAACATGGTGCTGCATATTTTTACAGTACTGTTATATAACCGACAAGTGAATCCATATACCATCCTGTTCTGTAATTGGTGTAGAAACCAGAAGTCCCTTTGAAAGCACAGGTCACTGACTTAAGTGAAACTAAGTTTTGTTCCTTTGTGCTCAACCCACTGTGTTAAGAACTTGCCCTAAATAAGAGAAGATAGTCCTTATGCCTACAGTTACATTTTTTCACGTTTGCTTGCCTTTCTTTTAAAATAGTATTATTGCTATGTTATGGTTGGTGACAGATGGTAAAGCCAACGTTACAGAGGAAGCATGTGCAGGATTCAGCTTCCATCTTCCAACCCCAGGTTTTTGTTGTTGTTTTGTTTTTTTTTTTACAGGAAAAAACACCTACAAAAACCCCAGTAGATGAGGTGGGGGAGCTAAGGCTGCTTGTCACCAAGAGCTAGCATCTTAGGTAATAACAAGCAAGAGTTACTAAATGCAGATTTCTTGTAAACAGGAAAGCACAAAGTCGGCTGTGAGTTACTAGGTTAATGCGCACTTGAGGCAAAAGCAAGCCACAAGAAGTCAGCTGTTACAAGTCTGTTTCAGTGAGTTTAGAATCATAGAATAGTTAGGGTTGGAAAGGACCTTAAGATAATCAAGTTCCAACCCCCCTGCCATGGGCAGGGACACCTCGCTGTAAACCATATCACCCAAGGCCTCATCTAACCTGGCCTTGAACACTGCCAGGGATGGAGCATTCACAACCTCCCTGGACAACCTCTTCCAGTGCCTCATCACCCTAACAGGAAAGAATTTCCTCCTTATTTCTTATCATAATCACTGTAGCAGAGAATAACCAGTTTAGCATCATTTTGTGCTGTTTAGTATTCCACTTCGTGGACAGCCAGGGGAAGAAAAAGAGGTAATGATCCAGCAGTCTGCAATACAACCTCCCTGCAGTTACAAAGAGCCCTAATAGTCCCCAGAGTGTCCAAGAAAAGGGAAGGTTTAAAGCAGTCAGATCTGCTCCCTCAACCCCTTGGTTTTTCACCAGCTAACAAAGCTGTTTGCTAGGAGCCACCACAACATGTAGCCATTCCAAGTTGTCTGTGGCTGAACTCTCCAGCTTAAAAAGTCAGAGTAGAAAGGCTGGCCCTCCTCAGCACATTGCAGGTTGCATCAGTAACAAAACCACATCAGGAGGCAGAGCCTGTTGCCTTGTGAAAGCAGTGCTGCATCCAGAAGGGTAGCACCAGGCATATGGATCAGGGGTGAGAGCAGGCCTTTTCCAAATGTACAGGCACTGCAAAACTACCACAGAGAGGCATTAATTGACAAGAATTGTGTAAGTATGCCTTAGTAATAGTTTATTTTTTGTTTAAATGGTCTTCCATCCAACTGGCATAACTTTCACCTTACTGCAGAAGGGCTTAGTTTCTGCAAGGCCTCTTACATTCATTTTCTTGGAAATAAGCTTTTCTGTCTCCAAAAACATAAATGACAGCTGTAGAACAATGTCAAACCAGGTGGAATTTTTAGGACTCTAGAATGCAAAAAATACCTGCTTTTGGGAATTGAAAGAAAACTGTATGTACTGCTTGAAATTTCAGGAAGTAAAAGGACACTTCAGTATCTTCAGAAAGAAGCCTGCAAACCCAAGATTGTACCAGTCTATGTTTTGAGAATACAGTAATGCTTTTTAACTAAGCCAACAGACTTGAAAGCTTTATACTTGAAAGAGGTGAATAATCTACAGTAATAACCATCAAGTGCAGCACTGGCTTGTAGATCGAACAGTAGTGACCGTACTCTGCATTTTAAAACCTGTGGTCCTTCAGAAAGAAGGCATACTATTGCGAGTTTTAGATGAGGAAGGGAAAGCATTGAGGTACAGGAGCTTGACTGTTGTTACAAAATCAAGTGAGTGACACAAAACTGACACAATCAGAAACTGAAATGAAGCAGTGCAGGAGCCAGAAACTCCTACAAGGGCAGACTGTGGCTCACAGAAGCTGGTCTGCTTATTGCAGTTCAGCTTAGGTAGGAAGTCAAGAAAGCTGTGGCAGAGTATGAAAGATGACCCTCTCTCTGACAATCCAAGGAGGGTAATATTTGTAAGTACCAATGTTAAAATATTCTGGATGGATAAAGACAGATTATTTGTGTGCAGTCGAAATCTGCTGGGGAGAGAAAAAGAAACAAAACTATGTGAAAGTCAGTGGAAATCTATACCTTGATAGAAAACTTCATGTAAAACATGGCCATGCTGCTAGGGCAGCTTGCCAAGAAACAAGTACTCATTTCAGTAAGTTCAACTACATGAGTTGCCACTTTAGGCCTCAAACATTTTTTCCTGTGCTGCCAGAGGCTGTGGCTGCTATTGCCTTACAGTTTCCTGCAGAGGGAAATATTCACTAGTGTATGAAAACCAAATATTGAGTCAAATGATCATTGTAAAAGCTGGAAGCATCTCTATGTGTAAGCAAAGAGTGAAAGACTAGAGTGTCAATACGAGTATTCACTGAGTTACATAGCTGTTTAGGAGAAGTCAAAACATTTCAAGCGATAAAATAGCTCTCGGAGCAAAGGGAGCCTATCAAATCAATGGGAAACACAAAAGAGGCATCTTAAATCTTACTCCTTTATTATTTAGGAGCCTACCTCTGGGCTACAATACTGATGTTACTCTAATGACGAAGAAAATTGCTGTTCTAAAAACAATGGCACTGGAGGCGCCTATTTTCCCCTTTATATGTATTCCACCTCAGCTCTTTATTCCTTTCCACCAAACTGATTTCTGTGTCTGGTACTGAGGAGAGGACATAACTCCTGGATCTTGTATGTCCTGTGCTGGGCAAGCATTCCTTAAACAGCACATGTGATGACCTTCCCTACCTGTGCCCAGTGCCTCAGCTGGCCCTGCAGCAGCAGCCTTTCTGCCCCACATCCTGATGTCTCCCTTCCTCTGCTCCACAGGTTAAAACAGCAAGAGATGGGAAGAATGATTCTGCCCATTTACCAGTACATTTTCACAGGCAGAACTTAGTATTTATAACACTCCTAAAGAAGGGAGAGCAGTAGGTTGGATTCAGACTGATGAAGGAAGAGACCTTTAACCCTCCGCTAATCCCTCTTTTTCCTTTTAGTGACAAGGATCCTTGTGTTGTTTGTTGATGTGTACTTTAACATATGCACCTTCAGCACAATTAAACAGGGTCAGGAAGTTTAGCCAGAATAACACCTATTGTCTGTCTGG